CTATGACTGCTGTGACTACTGCTCTACTTCTACGACTGATACTGCTAACCTCTTATTTCTTTCCACGTCTTTTTATATCTGAAAATGACCTACACCCCTTTTGAGAGGGAAGGAGCTTACGAATCTTATTGACCAATAGCATAAGGATCCACCCCATAGTCCACCGACGGGTACAGCCTATAGTTTTCGATAGTGGGAACTATGCATAAAGAAACTTAATCTAGCACATCGGAATGTTACTCTTTTTATGGTATCGCATATGTTTACATAGGAATCTGAAATTCTTCAAAGGGTCCCGACACTGCACACATGGTTTTTTATTGCACCAATATATCCCGATAATCCTAAGGTTCGTTTATGGTTTTATGGCCTTCCTAATCTTTTCTTTTAGTCTCTGAATAGAGTTTTCCTTTCCAAAAAAATAAGATATAAAGAAAAGGACTGAATACTAGTTTTTCGTCTACATCTGCTACACTTAAAACTCTCCTACATATATGTATAGGACAGGCATGTGTATAAAAAAGATAAAAATACGTATGAATTGTATAAAATATTGCGTAATGATGATAAGAAGTGGAAGGGAGCATTATACAATTTTCCGTGTGAAAAAAACTAACAATTTTGTAAATAGTTCGAAATAAGAACTGTACGTATACTTATTACTCGTTGCAATTGATAACGTGATAAATATACGTGCTAGTATATTCGTAAGAAATAATTCATTTTATCTTTTGAGAAGGAAAGAAAAAAAAAGGAAACAAAACAGTCTCTCTCATCTCTTAAAGATTAAAATTGTCTCTCGGGATTAGTCTTAGAGAGTAATCTCCATCCATCAAAATCAATCTATCCTTCGAGCGCACTTAAGAACGAGTACTCTGGTTCGATAAGAGATGCCATTCGATCCTTCGATGACTCGAAGGAAGGAAGGAAGGAAGAAAGGAAGAAATGAAAGAAATGAAAGAAAGAAAGAAAGAAAGAAATGTTCTTCCGGCAACTGATTCTAAGAGTAACGCTATCGTTCATCCCATTTATTTTCAAGAAAAGCTTCGTCATTAACGTTACCTCAAAGCTCCGAGTGCATCGAGATCGTTTCCAAGAGGATTCCGAGTTGATGCTTCGCTATTCTCCCAGAAGGATCCTCGATAATCCTTTCTGATGAATCTTCTATCGAAAAGAGAAAGAGAAAGAGAGTAGTAACCTTTCGTTCGGATCTAACTTGACGAAGACGTCCACGGCAGACGCAACTTAGAAATTATCTTCCCGAAGAAGGGAAAAGATCCTTTTCTTTTTTCGACTAGAAGAACATTTAGCTCGAAACCCTGCTCAAGTCGAATCGAGTGAAAGAGATTTGTTAGACTTACTTAGTGATATCCTAGTAACGTACTAAGGACACGAGTTTAGAAAGAGTATCGTCCTTTTGACGACAGTACTTTTTTTTCCCTAGCGTTTGTTGACAAATTTAAGTAAGAAAAATAATTAATAGTTCGATGCATTGCAATTGTAAAGAAAATTCAAGAATTGAACAATTTACATTAATTTTAAAGCATGAATTTTTCAACACCTTTTTTTTATCCTTCCTCGTTCGATTTGTTTTTTTAATATTATTCAAGTAAATATCATTCGTAACTTTATCTCCTGCAAATGAAAAGAAAATAGACTTCTTTTAAGAAGAACCACCGATTCCTAACCGATCCACTAGACGAAATTTCTATTTTATCGGTTCGGTCGATGCCAGCCAGAATCGCGATTGACATTGGCAGAAGAATACGAAGCGAATGATTCAACTTGGCTTTTTTTAAAGAAGAAATAGCTAAGATCCCGTCCAAGACGTTCTATCAGACATCGATGTCCCCGATATCAAATAGACTACGTTTCTCGATTCGGAAAAAGAACTCAAGTTATGTTGGAAAAGCTTGCCAAAGAATCTTATATATATATATTAATTGTTGCACTGGACTAATACTTACACTTCTAAACTAACAAGAATTTTTACAGAAATAATGTACTCATGTAAAAATAGAAATTCAAGACATCGTTCAAAAGCAAACGATTTCTATGGATAGGTTTTGAGTGGTGTAGAATCTCACTGGCAATGGAAGTAAATTCGAAATCCAACGCAGCATTGCTCGGCATCCTTGGCATTGCGGATTCTCTGCAGGATCGAACGAGCACTTTGCTATTGTTGCCGGTTAATTAAGGGAATTGCTGAAAGATTAAGGAGCTACCTCTTCTTATAATCCCTACTCCAAACTTCTTTCTTCTCTACTCTAATACCAAACTCCCTTTATTTTATCTATTTACTCTATGTTTCTCTTTCTCTATTTATTCTTTGTTCAATTAATCTCGATTGAAGGTTCTACGTGTTTTCATCTAACATAAAGTATCGATTATTTTACATCTATTTTTTTCATTTAATGGTTTATATATAATATTATTGTTGAACTAACTCTGAGAACTACTTATGAACGTATTATTATAACTTCAAATGCTTTATTGATAGATATCTCGAAGTTGGTATAAGTGACCATGAACAACCAGAAAATAATGGAGTTAAACCTTCAAGCTTTCAAAATAAACGACTCAATTATTATAACGAATGTTCAATTGAAAAAATTCAACATAAATATTAAATCCATTACGAAACATTGTGATGCTCTTAGTATATATTTGCGGCAAACCATAAAGAGAGTTACGGAGGACAAGTTGCACGTTAACCGCAAGAATCCTCTGTATACAGGGACGGACTGGTCACTCTGGAGCTAGAGTTAGGGTCCTTTAGCTAATTGCTTTCGCATGAGCGAGCGATTTAGTTTCACAATCGAACCCTTTCACCCATTATCTTCGTCAACGTTCATTCGTTCAAACCCCAGATAATGGGAACATTGATCAACCAAATGATAAAGGGAATCTAGAAAGTGCACTGCTCTTTTGGACCAATCAAATAAATGAAAAGAAATCAAAATATTTGATAAATTATCAACGAAATTTCTTCTTTTGACTTCTTTCTTTCTTTTTGAAATTAATTATTTTAATTTTTTTCCTTTTTTTGTTCTTCTTGTCATTTACAGAGATTCGATTTTTAATGAATCCTTTGATGAATGAAAAGTGGAATTTAAAAGGGTCAAATAGTTTTTATATGCTAATATACCGATAACTCAGATACATATTATTACATGTCAGATTCAGGAGTATCTAGAAGGATGTAATTTATGTTCATCTTCAAATACAATAAATAACTAAGGAACTGATATGTTAATTGGATTAATTGAAAAAGATTTATAAAAGATAGGTGCTAAATTTTAGTATATTTTGTTAGATAAATGTTCAAAGATAACAATTGGAATCTAATTAGAGTACAAGGCATTGCTGATGATTTGATACACATCTAAAATAGATTATTTATAAAGTATAAATGTAAATTTGGTATTAACACAAGATGGGAACGTTATGATCATTAGCACGTAAGGGATAAGTAAGCAGACTGACACGGGGTGTATCAAACTACTGAAAGTTCTAGGCTGAAGTTTAGTCGATCGATAAGCGATAACCGTGGAAGGCGATGCGCGTAGCACTCGGATACGTTGTCGAATTATCTCAATTAACGTCGTTAGCCGACCAACGCGAACCGACGAATCCGACACACACAACACAGCCAGCTGCACCAAATTGCACTCTGCTGTAACGAGGCGCAAACACGAAAGCGTCGTCGCGCGACAATGACGAATTAATGCACGCTTCAAGACCGCGGTCTACTTAATCGACCGTACACACACACACTATTTTCCATTAACGCAGGCACTACAGTTTGTTTAATTATGCTACGACTCTAATAAATATTACTACTTTTCAACATGATCTTAGAACATTAATGAGACGAAACTTCACAAATGCTAGTCGTTTAATCGCTCTTTCATCGTTATTTTCACCAGTTATCTATGATTGACGAGTATACTCGTTAATTTATTAGACAATGTCTAGGGAAAGTATGTATTTATTATATATTAATGTATATTAATGTTAATTGAGATAAGTATAAAAGAAAATCTTTTGTGTTTTTTTTTTATTGATAGGATGAGAGTGATCGTCGTCGACACGATGGGAAAGTTTTACGATCGAAACTTGTATAATTTTGTCGTTCTAACGAAAGCTTTTGACGATAGCATATTATGATTCAAAGTTTTTATTCGACAAGGAACGAAGAAGAATCATCGGTTCGTCCATGAAGTTTCGTTGGGTTTCGAAGTTTATCAAGTTTTATCCGAGAGAACGCACTCCGATTTCGAACGTCACGTGGAACCGGATGCAACAGCTTGCTGCGCACGGTCGAACCGGCTGCGTTTCCGATTTAATACGATTCCTGAGCCGTGAATAAATATTTCATCACTGCCAAGTTATTTCACACTTCGTTCGTCTTCTTTATCTCAATATATTATATACATATCTCTCTTTTTATTCATATTTTGAATTATTTCGAAAGAAATTGAAAATCAAAGAAAAGAATTCTTATAATCGTATTGATAATTTGGTTAACATATCTACATAAAATGTTAAATAATTTTTCAGATGGAATTTTCTTGTCAAATGTATTATCTCCAACGAGAATAAGTCAAGATGTACATTCATTTTGTATCAGACATACTACAAATAATATAGTGCATGTGCGCGGTACCCTTATATATACATGTATAACTATAGATATCGTAGGTGTTCTCGAAGACAAACAGAGAACATGTCTCAAGGGAATCCCGATATACGAAATTCAATGACCTATATATACTCTAACATCCATTTTCCGCACAATGCTATTCTCCGCTATGGAATGTTCGCTCTCCCCGTATTGACTTAGTGTATCGATATCTATGATCGCTAGTAGTTGCTAACGTCACCCACAAGTCTGAAGATTTTACTTTTTAGCTTTTCATCTAATCGTATTATTCAAAAATTCGACTTATTATTGCATTAGTTGGAATTCTAAATGGGGTACTATTTTATTTTCGTAGAACGAAAACAGAGCATTGCGACTGAAGGAACCCGCATCCTTGGCCTTATCCGCTGGAAATTCTGGTGGTTACATGGACCCAGATGGTACCGCCATTGTGATGTCATCCGAACTATTGCCTGCTCCTACACCCGATCCAAGAGTTACGTGGAATTATTTCGACGAGCAAGGGTAAGCTCTCCAAGTTTTTCTGTAATATGTCAAACCTATATGTAGGAAGACAAAAATATTACAAATTAAAGCCAGTAAAATCATATATAATAATATTTCGATGAAATTTATCTTCGTTTTGTAAATGTAAACATATTTTTTGTTCTTTTTCTTTTTGTTTTTTTTTTTGTCATTATTCACGTAGGATTCTAATTGATATTATATATTCGTGTTAAATAATTAATATAATATGAGAAATGTGAAATGTCACGTTTTAAATGGAATAAATTTGAACCTAGATAACATTCGGAAATACTATCATAAAAGCAAAACTGTCTCGCAACTCTCGAAATTATTTTCGCAACTAAATTCATCGGCCATAGTTACTGTGTGTACTACTAAAAACGGGTATACGGGTTGTGCGCGGTATTTAATACAACGCTTACAAAAAAAAGAACGTTTAACGGCAAGTTTAATCCACAATCGGAACTATGAATTATATCTCTCTGGTTGCCATACGCATACCTATGTGAATATACATATACGAGTATATGATACGTGTTTCGCGAGAATAAATTATAATATTAGGTTTTTATTGTAGATATGTTTCGAGGGGTGGTTTGCGAGCTGGTGAGGATCCATACGCAAGAAATAAATTCAATCAAGAAGCCTCGGATGGTCTTCCAAGTAATCGGGATATTCCTGATACACGTAGTGCAATGTGAGTAGTAATAATAACAATAATAATAATAAATAGTAACTCGTAAATGAAATCGAATTTATTGACAAATCCTTATGTCATTTATTTGACGATCGATTTGCAATCAACTTCAATTACATTTGTAAACGTATCTCTGTCATATTAGAAAGATCCAACAAAAGTAACAAATTATATCGTGAATAATAATAATAATAATAATGCAATTGATCGAAGTTAATGACGAATCGATTCGACGAAATTCAACGAACAAGAAAAATACGAAAACATTAACGATGAAAGAGAAAAATGTGAAGGGAAAATCAATTGTTAAATGTCGATCTATCAATCCTTTTATACACTATTATCAAAGTCTTCGCGAATTTTACGGAAAACAATATTCCTCTTCTGTGATCGCCAAGATCGCGGCATATCGTTGGGAATTCATGGGACCCCGTGGCAAACAGCGTTATATCGAAGCCGCCAGAAAGCAATGGCTTCGTCGAAGAAAAGCGTCAATGGCTCGTAAGAAATAGCTTCAAACGACCCTACGACCTACGACATTCTTCAAGAAACCGATAGAAAGTAAGCTTTCTCGGATGAATGAACTTTCATCAAATTGATTGACTTACTTCTTATTTGTCTCGATAATTTTTCAAATAATTAAACTCAATTTTTTTTTTATTTAACTTTACTTCATTGCGTGTTTGTATGTCAATGCAATATTTATTAATTGAAACATTAACCATAGGATATACCTGAAAAAATTACTGTACAAGAGTTAATATGGAAACCAAAAAAAAAAAAAAATCAAATCGTTGAAGAAGACTATTTATATTTTTTTGTATACCATTTTATTAATCGAAACGTCCTAAAAATAATGTATTGTATAAAATTGTATCCATTGTAATATCTCGTGATTAAATATCGTCGAGTTAAATAAAATAATCAAAGGAATGAATTCTCTTCTTAAATTTGTTATAAACGAAAAAAATACTCTTTCAATTTATAGATTTTTCCCAATGTTATTGTTTCCCTTTGTATTTTACTAGCGGAAAAGTGGAATAATATCATTCATTATAAACGAACCCTCGAGACTTGTGGTAAAGTCGTATAAGTCAATTATTCAACAAGTGCAACGTCATATAGGAGAACACGCTACGCTCTGAATAAACTATTGCTTCTGTTTGTCTGGACGAATTATGGAAACAAATTTACGAAAAGCTAAAACTATGTAAGAGAGATAGAAAATGAGAAAGAGAGAAAAGAGAAAGAGTTATCATAGAATAAATCTGAAAATCGTATTATATATTATTTCTACAAAATATCGACAATGCAATATGCATCTTGTTACACGTGCACGTTTTATAAAATATTTTTAGTTAACAAAGTTACAGAGTATAGTAAAAATTTGTTCGTATTTTATAACACGATGGTATTTATCGTATCATATTTCGAACACGATGCAAAAATATATGCATGTATGCATATGAGTATAAAATGCAGTTAACGTATGATGCAAAAAATATTAAATACACTTGCTCAACTCGTATTACTTACATTATGTAAGTAGGGACGTTTCCTAGGTTTTTTTGATTCTCTTGAAGAGACTTTCGATCGATATTACTACTTCGTCATTTCCAACTCCGCTTTGTATTTGAGAATTCAAATGGAATCCTTGTCCTCGATTTTCCTCGACTTTCTCTACCGAAGTGTATAAGGGTTCTTCAGTCTTCTCCAGCATGATCTAATTTCCGATGTCACCCTACACGCTTGTCACGTTCCCAACGAAACTATTTCTCCTAAGCTGTGGCAATCAACAAGTAAAGAAACTCTGCTTTTGTTCTTAAATGTATGATAAAAGTTATCTCTACATAATTTTTAATACAACTACAAAAAGGTAGTTTCACTTTTTACAATTATTTGCAAAGTATCACACGAAATTGAGTAAAATACTAAAACACGTAGATACCATTAATAACGAGTTGGAAACGTAAATGACGATTCTCATTTTGAACGTCTTTCTTATGATAAAAGAAGTTCGAAAATCGTGTCACGAGGTTGCTAGGTGTCTTTAGAGGACCCCACGACAAAAGGGTGACATCTTCTGCAATACACTTGGACCGATACAATAGGACCTTCCGACATCGTTGTGTTGTGTTGAATGAAAGCTCGAGCTGTACTACTTGCATTGAGTTGTACAAGCGAATTGCGTGTACTACCTATACACAAAGGTAAGAAAATATCAAGGGAAATTGAGCATAAGTCGAATCACGAGAATCTATATCGTATATATATATATATGAGTTTGAAAAGATAGAACTTTGTGTTATCATCATCATTATTTCTATATCGAGAATGGTCGAGATAAAACTCGGTAGGACAATATCCGGGCCCTGTACTATACCAACGATTCTTTATCTCGATCATTTAGTGAACGTATTTTTCTCTCTCTCTCTCTCTCTCTCTTTTTATCCCTTTTTTTACTTTTCTTGACTTTTCTTCTTTTTTTCTTTTACTATCTTTCTTATCTACTTCGTCCTTCTTTTTCGTCTTTTTACCTTCTATTCTTATTCTAGCAGGACAAAACGTCAAGAGGTTCTTTCTAACTCGGCAACTCGTGACAACAATATTTTTATGACGTGTTCGCGGAGATCGGCGAAGCGGCTTTGTAGCAAAGTTTCGAGCTACCGGAGATAAGTCAGAGACGAAAATCCCCAACGTAAATTTGTGAAGGTACTTTTAAAACTTCTAGGGGTAGCATTATCATCATCGGGTGGTGGAACTGCATTAAGATGAAACTTCCTCTCGAATGCCGTCAGCTTTTTAAAACTCTAAGATAAATATACGTAATCTTTGGTTTTACTCTTTAACGAGTTACGATTAATTTTTGACAACAATATTATTATCGATATTTTGTTAACGAGTAGAAGTCAAAGTATTATCAAAATAATTTGGAGTTAATCATAATTCAAATTTGTAACATTCAAGATTAATATCTAATTGAATATACTTTTATATTTGTTAAGGGAAATAATTTTTTTAGCTTTTTCCAAGAAAACATTTGAAAAGTGCATCGAATCGATGTATAAAACGTTAAATCCTATTATGAGAAAAACAAGTTTTCCTCTTTTCTATCTCGCTGTTGATCCGCCTTCACAATATCGCCGATCTCCAATGGTCCTAACTGGAAGGGACGACCGGAAATCTGTCGTCCACAGTTTCTGTCACATTCAGACTGTATATCTCCCTATAATTGGACGATGCCTTCGTCGAGCCCTTATCGGGGTTAATATTGCTCTTTCCATGGAGGAATTTAAAAAGAATCGATGAACACAACTTCGTTCCTAAAGATTCAAACTTTTGTTGAAGGGTTTCGATGGTAGGTTGGACAATGAAAGGAAGTTGGATAGCGAAAGACGACTCAGAGCTAAATATCGAAACGAACAGCTTAGAAAAGACGACGAAAAGTGCCTCTCATTGACTCTCTCTTTCTCTCTCTCTCTCTCTCTCTCTTTCTTTCGGTTTATTCCGATGAATGCAAACCTTTATGCCATCCTCGCTAAATACGTAACTTCAAATTGAATTAAGTTGAGCGTAGCGTAAGCTCTCGTAGCTCCTTTTATAACGAATTCAAATAGGGCAACGCTTCATTAGCCGAGTAAACGATCGATCCTCGTCGTTCTTTTAGTTTACCGAATTCTCGGATAAATTCTACCGATGAAACAAACATTTTAAACTCGCAGATTTTTAGATTCGATATATTATATATGAGTTGTTTAATTTAGATAGTGTATTAAGTCCATTTGCGCGTTGGATTTAATTTAAAAATATAAATAACAGATATGACATAGTAGAATAATATTTTTTAATTTCTAAAGATGTTAAATTTATCAACCCAATTAGCATAATTAACATCATTTCAAAAATAATATGTTTTTGATTTTCATAATTGGACTTAGGCCATTTTCATAATACAATGTTTTTACCATTCAAATGTAAAAGAACAAATGATTTATTTCTGTCACATTATTTTAAATTGGAGTATAATAAATTATTAAAAGTGAGAAACTCTCCTCTAGAAGGAAAAAAAAAACAACTTATTTGACCTTAATGTTGGTAGCAGTCGTTCCGTCGACTTACAATTAGTTTTCGCGTTCGGAAAACTCTCGCCATCGATATTCCTTTCTTTGTGAAAGTACTTTAATAAAAATAATCGAAAGAAAACCGCGATTTCTTTCGAATGAGACAACGAATAATGGATCCTCGAGGCGAAGAAGATAAAGTTTATTACCGTTAAGGACAATTCCTTCTTTATGCTCCTCTGACCGTCCTTTGCTTTACTTCACTTCGCTTCTCTTCGCTTCTCTTCGCTTTGCTTCCTTTCTATGGCTTTTTTTTATCGTTCAACCTGCTGACGCGAACTCAGAATTTTTTTTTCTTCCTTTTTTTTTATATCTTTACCTTCGTAATACTTTTTTTTTTTTCTTTTTACAAAATCCTTCTGTCGTTTAAGAAGAAAATATTTTGCTACTTTCCGATAGTTTCTTCGTGTAATATAACTTTACATTGATTCGATTGATTATTTACGAATAATTCACAGTTTCATTTGCATTGATGAATTCTATTTATTAAAATAAAAAATATACTATATTATATTTATTAAATATACTAAAATATTAATCTTTTTGCTTACCAAAGGACCCAGACCTTTTTTGCAACTTGAGTCATTTTTCTCAATTGTTCAACTTTGGGAATTTTTTTAAACATATTTAAATTTAATTTAAAGCTATAAAACCTATATAGTCTTTTTAAGTAAGTATTAAAGAAGTCTTAAAAAAAATGTTGAAGTAAATCTATGCAATAGTTTCTTTTTTATAACGATTTTTCTCATCCGGGTCCAAAGGACTCGGGTGTGGTAAGCGTGTTACTCCTGGAAGGGTGGTAAGCAAAGAGGTTAAATATATATATATATATTATTTATTATTTATTAAAATAAAATATACTAGGTTCATTTTAATTTA